CAATTATGGGTCATGAAGCACCTTGGATAATCTCCAGAAATCAATTTAAAGGGTAATAAAATAATTGCTGCTGTAATATTTTTCCTATAATTATTACAAAAACACAAAATAAGTAAAAAATAAGTATTTATATGTGTGTACAAGCTGTTTAGATTGTCAAAAAACCTGTGTTTTTAGGGTTATTAACGAAGTTCATTTACTCAGACCAGTAATATTTGGGGTCACAAGTTTTTGCCATGGATATTTTTGTGGGTCAGAAGACAAAAAGTTTGGGAACCACTGATCTAGTGGACTGGTGCCCACCACTGGTAATTATGATATAAAGCACATGCGTAAAGTTGGAAATGTCTCAACCACGGAAGTGTGCCCTTGGTTGACTTCATTTATTTACAATATTAGTGTGTAATGCATGTACAGTAAATGGTGTCTACCATTGTTAGAGGAGAGGCCAAAGGTGGTCGTCCGCTTTACTCTCACCTTGATGTCGGATTCTAAACATTTTTGTAAATTCAGAGTGTGCAATGCCACCACAGTCACACACCATCACTCCTCTTTTCACATGGCTCAAATGCCAAAGGAGTGTACCAAATACATTTGTACTCCCTAACACCTTGTTTAGGAGCATCTAAAACTCCTGTTCCAAGAAGTTCTACATTTTCCTGCATCCAGACATGATTTTTGATCGTACAAAGAGGAGAATCACACATCCAGGAAGCTTTTGCGTATTTAAACAGAAAGGTGTCGGGAGTTTTCTGAATTGCACTCAGATGTATCGAGGAAAGGTGCACAGGAAGATGTGTGAAAACTTTTATAAACGTGTATACTTTTGGCCATATGCATTTTTGAATATTTGCACATACGGCAACTTCCATTATGAAAGCTGCACTTTCTTTCGTACACATGGCCCCAGGCCTGTCAGGTCATTTTTTACAGCATCAAGCTGTTTTAATCCAACAACATAGGAAATGAGAAACACAACATACCAGAGCATTTGATCTTCAGTCCAGCCTGCAGGGAAGCCTCCTCGTGGTCTATTGGTTGACTGGAGAGGGAATAGATCCAGATCTCTGCCACTTTGCCCAGCATGTCTTTCTGGCTGCTGCAGAGAGGCAGAACCTGACCTCCCTCTGTTGGGTGCTGCATCACCTGGGAAACACAAAAACAAAAAAAAAATACATTTTGATGTTTAAAAAATGGCTATGCCCCAGCAAATTTCACAGATAATGAGCTAAAACTTTGTGTGGTTGTACATACATGTCAAACTCTTCAGATGTTTACCTGTTGACTGATCTAAAAAAATTAAACTCTGTTGTAGTCTCACGATACAAAAGAAAAGATAACAGCATTTACGGCAGCGTGGGGTGGGGG